TTTCGACACTAACTAGGTATATTAATGTAAACATTTTAACACTAACTAGATAGATTAATGCAAACATTTCGACACTAACTAGGTATATTAATGTATACATTTCAACACTAACTGGATAGATTAATGTAAAAATTTCCAATGTAAAGTAGGAGTTATTGTGGGAATTTCAAAATGTTACCTCTAAAGAAAAAGAAAAAAACATTACACAGAAGTATAATTATCTAAAGATCCACATTATTACCTAGGAGTTAATGTGCCAATACAGTACATGTTAGAATTCCAAAACGTATTTTAACAGCGTAATCGTTCTAGAGCATATATGTAGAGTGAGTATATACAGTTACGGGTACATCACTGATTCACGACCGAATGTACGTTAGCTCCAATCTACTCTAACCCAGGAACAAACAGACGTAAAGGAATCTTAACATGTACATTTTTATGAGCGGAGAGTTAACACCTCCGTAACACTGCCGTTCGTTATTTTATTTTAAATGATTTTACGTCACTGCGAGTTACTTCATTCCTGCCACCGTTATCTCTTCATGAATAGTTTCGTTACGAGTAAAGCTTGTACATTTGCTTCGATAGGCGTGACAGTGACACACCCACGGCACGGGTAACGTGACGTCAGCACAGAAAGTGTGACGTCAGCACGGGATGCATGGCCTGACCAATATGTGAATCGGCTGTGTCTGCTTCCATAATAACGTTGCACGTAATAATAACGTATATTATTTCTATAATAACGTTAAACTACACAAAGAATCTCCTTGAAGTCAAGGCCGCTTATCGGCGGAATTATGGATCGATAGAATATAACATAGCGTTATATTATTTTAGATTAGTATCATCCCGTCGACATGAAAGCTGCAAAGAGAGTTGTTAGAGACGCTTGCAGACATTACTGTCAAATTTCTCCGGGACGGGGCGCTACTGAAATTTTCTATCACGATAGTCATAATTAAATAGTCATTAATATTCACAGTAATTTAGTGCACAGTACGTATACAAACCTTTAGTGCACGCACATAAAGCTTTCTAGGCGCGTTGAAATAAGGAACGTAAAATAGATAGCTAGACCAGTTGTCGAAGCTGTTGCCAAGAGGCTATAATTATACTTATTCCCCATAAAATAACTAGATAAAATGATAAGATATAGATAAAAATACACAGGATGTTATCGACGACGACGCATGCGCAGTGAATTCCCTGCACGGGATAGCGCCATTGATGAATAGCATTGCAAGGTTACAGCTGCACAAAAACCAGTGTTGAGATATCCGCTCTACTATTCCCCTTCCCATGAGCAATGAATAACCTTGAAAGTAAGCTTGAGCAAATTAATCATCGACAGAAACGATATAAACTCTGCTGATGTTAGAGAAACATCGAAGGATTATTTCAAACGCATGAACTTTATACTAGATCGTTTGTCGTCATGGCTCCTGGCTGGCAAATTTATTTCCTCAGAATCTAAGTCAACGTTTACATTTACTCTTTACGATTACTCACTCTACTCTTCAATCTGTCTAATCTCTATGTACTACCGCTGTGAGATAATTCTGGCCGTCCTATATCTATAGCGTATAGTTCAAGCTGATGCATCGCTTCGCATGCATTTAGTTATTGCACACAATCAGTTTAGTTAACACATTCAATATATTTAGAAAAATTTAATACTATGGATTTTGCTTATGGGCTATTATGTTCTACTTATTACTGTTCGTATTTATACTAACAGAACAAAATTGATCATAACAAGCGCGTTTCCTGCGGTGATAAAGTAATTTCGAATACGAACGAGTCGGTTAACTCGACATCCCAAAAGGTCCCCAAAGATGTCCAATATGTCATTAAGTATATAAAAGCGAGAACGTGTTTGAACGCACTATTCTAATATTGGCACACCTGCCATGTAAACAGTTTTATATGAATATTGTATCGCTTGATTACCGCATCACTTCCTTAATGTCAACCCCGATATAAATGTTTATTGCTCGCCAGCAGTAGTGTGTCAACATTGCGTGTGACATGTATAGGAGCTCACATCGTTACTCACACCCTGGTTCCTGCTCCGGCTACTCCTGCTCCTGCTCCTGCTCCTGCTCCTGCTACTGCTGCTGCTGCTGCTGCTGCTGCTACTACTGTTGCTGCTACTGCTACTGTTGTTGCTGCTGCTACTGCTACTGCTGCTCTTCTTCCTCCTCCTCCTCCTCCTCTTCCTGCTGCTGCTATTGTTGCTGTTGCTACTGCTCCTCCTGCTGCTGCTGCTGCTGCTGCTACTGCTGCTACTGCTGCTGCTACTGCTGCTGCTGCTGTTCCTGCTCCTCCTCCTGCTGCTGCTGCTGCTACTGCTGCTACTGCTGCTGCTACTGCTGCTGCTGCTGTTCCTGCTCCTCCTCCTGCTGCTGCTGCTGCTACTGCTGCTACTGCTGCTGCTACTGCTGCTGCTGCTGTTCCTGCTCCTCCTCCTGCTGCTGCTGGCTGCTGCTGCTACTGCGCGGCTTGCTGTTACTCGCTCTCTCTGCGCTGGCTGCTAACTGTGCTGCGGCCTGGCTGCTGTTGCTGCTGTGCTGCGTTGCGCTGCGCTGCTGCTGTTACTGGGCTGCTGCGCTGGGCGCCGGCTGCACTTGTTGCTGCCTACTACTGGCTACTGGCCAATCACCAAGCTAGCCCATTCACCCATCAATCCTATCCATCCTCCAATACATCCATCCATCCATTCATCATCCATCCATCATACCATCCATCCATCCATCCATCCATTTATCCATCCATCCATCCATACGCATCCATTCCCACCATCCATCCATCCACGCAATCCATCCAATCCATCCATCCATCCATGCATCCATCCCATCCGCATCCATCCATCCATCCATCCATCCATTCCATCTCGCATCATCCATGCCATCCTCATCCATCCATCCATCCATCTATACATCCTGCCATCCATCCATCGCATCATCCATCCGAGCCAATTCCATCCCACCATCCATCCATCCATCCATCCATCCATCCATCTCATCCATCCATCCATCCATAGTCATCCATCCATCCATGCCATCCACCATCCATCCACGCAACCATGCCATCCTATCCATCATCCATCCCTCCATCAATCCATGCCATCCCCCATCCATCCATCCATGCCATGCCCATCCATCCATCCAATCCATCCATCCATCCATCCATCTCATCCATTCCATCCATTCATCCTCCAATGCGCATACCACCACCATCCATCCATCCACCATCGCATCCATGCCATTCCACCATCCATCCATGCCATTCATTCCATCCATCCATCCATCCATTCCATCCATCCATCCATCCATGCCACCATCCACCTATCCATCCATCCATCCGCATCCATCCATCCATCCATCATCCATCCACATACCATCCATCCATCCATCCATCCATCCATCCATCCATTCACCATCCATACCTCGCATCCACCATCCACCATCTTCATCCATCCATCCGATCCATCCATCCATCCTTCCATGCCACTCCGTACACTCGTGGCAGTTGCTAAAGTGACGTCATAAGCTCCGCCCGCCCTGCATTTTGTTTACAGCGTATCGCCGGCAATTTGTTCGTCGTGCGAGACCATGATCAACGTGATGAGCCACCTATCGACGTCACACGAACTGCGTCAGGTAAAACGGCAGCGGCCCTTTGATCTATAGTGACATAGTGACAGTAGGGAAAGGTTTAATAATCATGATCGTGTTTGTTCAACGCATGCGTACGGCGTTTGTGGGTTTGAATGGCTGTGTTGGTGCATGTATTCCTGGCGAATGGATTACGTATGGGAGCGTGTATATTGTGCGTTAGCGTGCTGTGAATCTATGTACGTGTGTGAGTGATATGTTGCGCTCATGTGCGTGGAGTGCATGTATGCCTAATTGAGTCTCTATGTTATGGTGCGAGTGTGTATGTGCGACACTGCGTGCGTGTTAGTGGCGTGATGCTTTTGTGAGTGTAGGTACATTGTGGCGCGTGTGTATATATAAATATATACATATATACGCAATGGCGTCTGTGCCATTTTTTTGCACGCATCTATTCTTCAAAAGTCACCGGTTGATCAGTCGAGTAATGAGACAAAGCCCCCCAACGAACGACGAAAGCGAATCACAGCAGCATTAGGCAAATCGCCCGCGGACATCGTGATGTGATGATTAGAAAATAAGCCGATTGATTACGTAATATCCGCTAAATTAGCGCATACAAATAATCTTCGCTCGCGTTACAACTACGAATCATAAATAGCGAACATATTTCGCAACTTTAGACATAAGAGTTAACACGAGTGAATAGATGCGATAATAAACGTTGAGTCGGTCTCGAAAAAAAAAAGGCCGAATAGCAACCGCGATTACTAGTAATAATGCAAATCAGGATGAATAATAATAGATTACTATTACATTATTATCACTCCTGAGTGAAAGAACCATATCTAAGGGCCAGTAAAGAAATAAGGGACTGGCTATTTTCCTAGTTGGCTTAAGCTATCCAGACTAAACCGCGTAAGAGTGAAGAGGCTCAATGAGCAAAGCCTGATACAGGAACGCAATGCAAACATAGTTTCCGAAGGTGATATACTCTACTAATTTGAGGGCTCAAAATGGAAAAGAAAGAACCACTCGTCTATGTCACACGAGCGCAGAATCGATGACCAATATAGAAGAAGAGGTCCTAGCAGGAGTCGGGCCGAATAATCATCATGATAGATTAGGCAACGACACCATATCCACACGCAACGCGAATCTCCTATGGTTCATCGCAATTGCCTTCCTCATAGAACGATGATTTCGTTATATACAGAGAGGCGTATGTCCGGATAGGCACTGAACACGCAACCCACTGATTAGTATAGATAGCGAAGCTCCTCTCGAAATACGCAAATCAAATGTTTAACTTTCTACCGTTATTTGTATGCGTAGGTTCGAGCCTTAGAGGACATGACCTGAGCTGTTCTAGGGTTCTATCACGTGGATCTAATATAGAATGAATTTGAGTGGAACTATGTACTGCCATCCAAGCTGGTGTCGGATATTATAGACCACTGTATGGGTCACACGGCTTACAGTATACACAGAGTAATAGGAAATCGCTCACAGCCAAACACATACACGCAACACGCACATACGACACTAAAGCGGCGCGCGCGTGGTAGGCGTTATAATCAATGAGAGTAACCTCCTCACCTAACCGCGAACGTGTTAAAACAACCGGTGATGATAATGATGATGATGGATGATGATGATGAGATAGATAATGATGATGATAATGACGATGATGATGATGAAGATATAATGATGCATGGTAAATAATAGTGAGAGCCGCACAGGAGTCAATACATATAATACAAGCTGCGATAGTAACAACTGATGCGCCTAGATACTTTCTCTCTACGCGTCCCCGATGTCACAACATCGCGGACGTCACAATCTCACTACCACTTATATAAACAGCGAGTTTGTGAGATAGATCACTCTACGACAAGGGGTCCATAACGTATGCAATGAGTCAAGAACTCACACGCGCGCGAGCGCGCTTGTGTGTAGTGAAATGACTTCATTCCTTATGGTCTAACCTGTCTGAAAGATTATA